ATATATATATATATATATATATATATATATATATATATATATATATATATATATATATATATTACGTGAACTATAGACTTTAATATATATATATATATATATTATAGATTTTCAGTCAAATTTTCCTCGAACGCTTTGGAATATAACTCTGGAGGATTTCAATTCCTTGGTGTTTGTGGACATGCAGCAGCATATAGGGTGCTATCCATTATACGTTGCAAATACTTTGAAGTGCTGTATGGATCAATCATAGGTGCAATCCATTAGACACTGCAAACACTTTGAAGCGCTTAAAAAGAAGTCATTGGTCTATATTGTGCTTCAAAGCATTTGTAGCATCTAATGGATCGTGCACCATAACTTTTCTTTGAGCACTTCAAAGTGTTGCAGCGCCTAATGGATCGCACCTATAGAAATAGAAACGATGGCGGAAGGGTTGCATATAAATGGGATGTATCGTGCGAGTCTATTTTTGTAAGAAGAATTTTGTTAGAATTATCTTTCTTAGATTTGTCAGATCTTGTTGCAATCGTTTGTGCCACGAAATTCGGTCGTTGGATCTATCAAAATGACGGAAAAATTACGTGAGTAATTGTGTGTATAATGAACGCTTATTTAACCTATATGTTACCGAATTATATCCATATTCGTATTAATATCCATATTCATATATGTACTTTGAGAAATAAGAACTCCTTATCAGCTAAATTGAGTTTCATAAATTTTCCTTAACCAAACAAGAAGCTTTATTAGTTGCCTTATCTTAAGGAAAGTCGCGAGCTTCCTTGAAGTGATGGCAACAACCTATTAGCAGAAGATGCGATGACATAACCTACAAAAGTATTATGCATGTGCAGAGTACTGCTACTGACTATAGCATTATACTATGTAATTAAAATAGATAACAAATGAGAATAAATAAATAATTTGAATGATGAATTTGAAAATGAAAATGCGAAAAATAATTTGGCGTTTACAAAAAAGATATATTTGTAACAGGGAAAATCCTATTGAATTTTACAAAGATGAAAACTGTATAGATTTAATAAAAGATGCGTAATTGTTATTCTATTACTGTTGGTAAGTGAGCAATCACAGCGAAACAATAATCGCGGGCTGCTGATTCCACCATTAATGCAAGCATTTGTCCATACCCAAACTTCAGCCTTATTTTTCAAATCTATTGCTCTTGTTTCTTTACTTTCTATAGCTTTTTTTCCGATATTTATTGAGCAAGGATCATCCGTTTCATTTCGATATAACGAATGTTAAATTCGCAAACTGTAATTGCACATATATATTAATAATTAAAACTTTTGTTGTTGTTTAAAAAATGCTATAAAATACAATGAGAAATTAAAGTCAGTTGAAGTAAAAAATTAAGTTATGCATATTCCCAGATAGCAAAATGTGTTCATTTTGAGCTCGTATTATACTCATGCTCATGTTATTTTATGCCGATAATTTCTTATAGCCGAGGAGGTGACAAAAATGAGTTTCCGTCGAAAAGTATGGGATTACATGACAAAAAACGAACTGGTGAACTTCCCTGTTAGTATACATAAACGTATTCCAAACTTCAAAGGTGCTGCCGAGGCAGCACAGCGACTAGCTGAATTGGATGAATTTAAGAAGTCAAAAACTATAAAGATAAATCCAGACAAACCACAAGAACCAGTGAGATTTTTGGCTCTGGAGGCTAATAAGGAGATTATTGTACCCATTCCCAGATTGAGATCTGGTTTGTTTCTACATGTTACGCCTGTTGCTGGTATGACAAAAGAACAATTAAAAACATTGGCTTCTATGCATGGTCTGGAGCAATCTGGTAAACCACTGGGGCTCGACTCCCATATTAAAGTGAGTATTACTTGGAAACTGTTCAAGATTATTCAATTACTTAAATACAAATATATACTAAGAAAAATTAGTTACAAATTTGAATAAAGAAAAATATGGTGAAAGCTCTGATGGTAAATAACTATTTACTAGTGATTAATAGTAAGGCCTGGTCTACAATAGATGTTGTATAAAATAGGTATGAAAAAATATATAAGTTATAATCACCAATCAAAATAAACTTGGCGTTATTGGTATTATTATATTTCGTGAATACTTGTTCAACTGTCTGGCAATGAGTTATATGCAAGTCTAGGGCCGGTATTCATAGTCCGATCTTATAGTTAAGTTCATCTTAAGTACTGTCTTAAGATGTCATGAACCAATTACAGAGCCGTACTCGCATCTTAAGACGGTCTTGAAATAAGATTCGACTATGAATACCGACCTAGATTTGTGATATTCGTATATTCTATAACGAGATTTGAAAGCGACAACGTATCTCAATAAACAATTGTTCGATAGACGATGTCGCTATATCGATTCGATGGCAATAATAAATATTACGAACAGCTACTAAAACACTATCACTTCTCAAATAATTACTAGTGTACTCATTTCTATCCGCACGGAATATGATATACTTATTCATCCAAATCTAACTCCTCATTACAAAAATCAAGTTTCGACCAGAATCCTAAAATAATTATGTCAAAGCTATGAATAAAAGAGACACACACACTAGAGTAAAAGAGACCGGCACACTGCAATTCATCAAGTTTTGTCCTTAATCCTTTCGTATTCTGATAGTAATCAGTTTTTTTTATTTGAATATGAATTATTGTCTACTATTGTTGGAATTCCATTAACATATCGGATAGTTTTATTTTTTTCACTCGATTCAGTCAGGCACCTCAACTGGTTTCTTAAATCCTGGAGGTATTTTCATTGTTTTAATGTTTGGATTTTAACTGATTTGAGTATTTTGCTTTATTTTGCGATGTTTTTATAGTATCACTTTTTGATTGAATGATTACGTATTGGTCTTGAGTGTCCCTGCTTCTACCAAGTCTTTGGATTTTTAGTTTAAATGGACTAATTGGCTAAAAAATCTTTAATATGTTGCTAATCATAATACGATCTTCCGAAACTGGCGAGTCTCGGACTCCTTTAGATTATAAAAAATAAAGAATTCTTTCTCGCTTTTCTATGATCGTTTCTACACAATGTCCAAAATCCAATGTAATTATATAATATTTCACAGCGTATGTAGTGCAAGTTTCATCGAGTTCTCACAAAATTTGTTTCATGATACCACTACTTGAAATTATCACATTTAGCGTTCAATAACGGCTCTTATACTTATTATTCTTATGGATAATAAGTCTATATAGCATACAATAGAAAAGTATCAATAGTATTTGTTATTTATTTATAGGTAGATCTCGTTGTACTGGGATCCGTATGCGTCAGTCGGGACGGATACAGGCTGGGCAAAGGAGAGGGTTTTGCGGATCTCGAGTTTGCGATGATGATGAGAATGGGTACGATAACGGAGAACACGATTGTTATCACAACTGTGCACGATTGCCAGATCGTAGATCATCTACCGCCACAGTTATTCAAAGAGTATGACGTGCCGGTGGACATAATCGTCACGCCAACGCAGACTATATTTGTTGAGCTGAGACAGAAGAAGCCGACCGGCATTTTGTGGCAGATGCTCAGTGAAAGAAGACTTAAAACCATGCAGGTATTACAGCAGCTCAAAGAGATGGATGAAAAGTATGCATTAAGTTGCCTGAATCATGCTAGGCGGCTATTTCACGCAAATAAACTGTTACTTCTCTGCAGAGACGGCAAAGACGTGGTTCTGAAAGAAGTCGATTCTGACGTGGAGACGCGTCAATATATCAAGAATCGTCTTAAATATCCGAAAAATAAAAAGCGCCTTGGCGCAAAGAGGGATGTGTCCAATACGGAGAAGAAGAACTTTACTGCAGAGGATGTCAAAGATAAGATTGACAAGCCGCGTTTTCCGCGAAAACGTTCATACAAGAAGGTGAAAGTCGAAGAAGAAAACAACTCTCCGAATATCAAAGTACGCGTACGTCTTTTTATATATTATTATTTATTAAATTACTGTTTCTACTAAAGTACTTTCTAATTAGAACTTCTACTTAAATCAATCGATTAAAAATATACTTCACATAATATAATCTACGATTTTATCAGAGAGACGATTAACACGTTTGCTATCAGGCTTTATTTAGAGAATTCTCTCTACAAACCTCGCATTCTTTTTGTCACGTAATGGCATAATGTAAAATTAATTTGATAATGTGGACATAGAAAAAAAATTTTTGCTCTCATACATATGTGACGCTAGCAAGGAATGTGTTATCATTAATTAAATTAATTAATTAAAATTAGTATCGATTAATCTAATGGCCCTTTAATGTTATAGACGAAAACAGAAAATAGTACCAAAAGTACGTCTCGCCTGCGTAAAAATCTACGCGCTAGAACGAGGGCGCATATCGACTTCTCCTTGAAGCTCTCGAACATTTCGTCCGGTGTCAGAGTCCGCGATCTAAAGAACGCTCTGTTGGAGCGTGGCGTTAAGCCGAGCGAAATAACTTGGCAGGGTTATCGCGGCATTTGTTACCTTCACTTTAGTAAGCTGAGAAGCGAGACCACTTTGCCGGATCAACCGCTCCAGGTAGATTCGATCGTGGCGAATTTGCAGCAGCTACGAATCGGCGAAACCGCGAACGACGAGGAGGGTTTCATACACGTAGAGCCCGCGAAACCAATCTCCAGAATCGAAGTAACTGACGTGACTACCGTTTAAACATTTATCAGAAGCTACATAGTTAGCGTAGTTTCTCGAACGTTTATATCATTTTGACATTAAACGAATGATCGAATATTTTACAAAAGTTTATTTTTTGTAAAGAAAATTTTTATAAAATCACGTGTGTACAAGATGTTTCAGACAACGAGTACTTTCCGTTAGTTACGAATCTTTTAATGAACGTTCGGAACTTTTCTTTTTAGCGGTTATATTCTGTTGGAAATTAGAAATTTCGGCACAATCACTTTAATTTTTTTAAATTTTATTTCTGTGATTTGATGTGCATGTAGAGTCCGTTTTCACATTTAATCGTTGCATTAAACAAAGAACTTGCCCATCGATTTATACGCGTTATAATAATGCCATAGTATCAGAGATCGATATAAAATTTCGCTCAAGAGAACTCTATTCCGAATTCGTTGGGAAACTGTAGTTTTGACAGAAATGCGTGACCACCAGGGGGCATACTGTAATAGTTTTTTTTTTACTTTACAATAGATATCAGCTTCGCCGCTTTAAACATACGCAATATATATTTGTGTTAACGATTAAGAGAACGTTTCTTTTTAATGATTATTTTACATGTTACTGTTACTTCACTTAGATCTATATTGCAGTTGTACTTGAGAATTAATTAGCGGTGACTCGTCGATGGCGACGATCCGAGATTGGTTCGGACTGGTTCGAACCTGGTGCAATGCGAATCTATTAATATTAATGGTTGTTACTATTAACACACAGAGAGATACTACGTATTTTTGGCTAATGATCTTATTTATGTTACTTCTGTATTAATAAGCCGTGTCACTGTGACGTAGGGGAAAATACCGCCAACTTTCCAGAAAATTCGTCGCAACGCGCATAATGATCTGTGATCAAAAGATACATTAGAAGTAGAACAGCTGCGCCATGGAGAAATATAGTAAACGCGTAATTGTTAAAAATACCAGGACAACCGTGCAGCAACCGATGAAATTGGAGGTTGAATCACGTTTTTTTAAATAACGATTACTCTCTCTTAGAGAGAAACGCAAAGAAAACTGTCGGTGTTAGTGAAAGATCAAAAGTATATCTGTTGGTTCATATTCAATCGTTAGAGTGATTCGTAGGAGGTATGGAAAATAAGTCAATTGCTGCTGTATTTGTCCGTGGAACAGCGAAAAGTAATCGTATTTGATGTTTTTTTATATTCTTTGTAGACAATGAGTTGAGATTAATTGATGTGAGTAGAATGCGATATATCTGCGATAATATTTGGTACCAATCATCTAACAGACTGATGACAATAGTTTACATGTTTAAAAAATATCTGAGATAACAAGTTGGAGACGAATTATCATATCTTTCTTCTCGTATAGGGAGATAAAATAGAGATGAATACAGAGAAAGAGATGGAGAGAGAAAAAAAATAGAGAGAGAGGGAGAGAGAGAGAGAAAGAATACTCTATTTTTCTGAATACATATTCTCATAAATAAAAAAAGATATATATATATATATGTATATATATATATATATATATATATATATATATATATATATATATATATATATATATATATA